TGACACAGAATAATTGGTAACTGAAGAAAAGGACAACGTAATGAACACTTTACAACTGAAAAAAAAACATGTAATTTTTCTAGTGATCTAGTGATTTCTAGTTTTTAAAATCACTTCTCCACAATCAAAATCAAATACTCCATAATGATTACTATATAGTGGGTTTGTGAAAGGCTTCAGCACTGAACTCTGGGTTAGAACTTTCCCACACAAAGGCTAATGAAAATCAGGAACTCACTCCCCCCAAAGACTGTTTGCGCTAAATCCATTAGGGTCTTCAATACAGAGATGGATGTTTTTGTTTGTGTCCTTTACAGTAAAGATCCGATCTGAATATTTAGCAAAAAGAGCAAAGTAACTGCTTCTTCCAAGCGTTTTTATCTAAACTGTTGGACGTAAATTGCAAAGATGATTCTGGATAGAAGGATTGCAAAGATGATTCTGCATAGGAGCAAAAGTAACAGGGTAGCTGTTATGGGGGACTTTAACTTTCCAAATATTGACTGGAAACGCTATAGTTCGAGTACTTTAGATGGGACAGTTTTTGTCCAATGTGTGCAGGAGGGTTTCCTGACACAGTATGTAGATAGGCCAACAAGAGGCGAGGCCACATCGGATTTGGTACTGGGTAATGAACCAGGCCAGGTGTTAGATTTGGAGGTAGCTGAGCACTTTGGTGATAGTGACCACAATTCAGTTACGTTTACTTTAGCGATGGAAAGGGATAGGTATATACCGCAGGGCAAGAGTTATAGCTGGGGGAAAGGCAATTATGAGGTGATTAGGCAACATTTAGGATGCATAGGATGGAGAAGGAAACTGCAGGGGCTGGGCACAATTGAAATGTGGAGCTTGTTCAAGGAACAGCTACTGCGTGTCCTTAATAAGTATGTACCTGTCAGGCAGGGAGGAAATGGTAGAGCGAGGGAACAGTGGTTTACTAAAGAAGTTGAATCTCTTGTCAAGAGGAAGAAGGAAGCTTATGCAAAGATGAGGCGTGAAGGCTCAGTTAGGGCGCTTGAGAGTTACAAGTTAGCCAGGAAGGACCTAAAGAGAGAGCTAAGAAGAGCCAGGAGGGGACATGAGAAGTCTTTAGCAGGTAGGATCAAGGAAAACCCTAAAGCTTTCTATAGGTATGTCAGGAATAAAAGAATGACTAGAATAAGATTAGGGCCAGTCAAGGACAGTAGTGGGAAGTTGTGCGTGGAGTCCGAAGAGATAGGAGAGGCGCTAAATGAATATTTTTCATCAGTATTCACACAGGAAAAAGACAATGTTGTCGAGGAGAATACCGAGATACAGGCTATTAGACTAGATGGGATTGAGGTTCATAAGGAGGTGGTGTTGGCAATTCTGGAAAGTGTGAAAATAGATAAGTCCCCTGGGCCGGATGGGATTTATCCTAAGATTCTCTGGGAAGCTAGGGAGGAGATTGCAGAGCCTTTGGCTTTGATCTTTATGTCGTCATTATCTACAGGAATAGTGCCAGAAGACTGGAGGATAGCAAATGTTGTCCCCTTGTTCAAGAAGGGGAGTAGAGACAACCCTGGTAATTACAGACCAGTGAGCCTTACTTCGGCTGTGGGTAAAGTGTTGGAAAGGATTATAAGAGATAGGATTTATAATCATCTAGAAAGTAATAATTTGATTAGGGATAGTCAACACGGTTTTGTGAAGGGTAGCTCGTGCCTCACAAACCTTATTGAGTTCTGAGAAGGTGACCAAACAGGTGGATGAGGGTAAAGCGGTTGATGTGGTGTATATGGATTTCAGTAAAGCATTTGATAAGGTTCCCCATGGTAGGCTATTGCAGAAAATACGGAGGCATGGGATTGAGGGTGATTTAGCGGTTTGGATCAGAAATTGGCTAGCTGTAAGAAGACAGAGGGTGGTGGTTGATGGGAAATGTTCATCCTGGAGTTCAGTTACTAGTGGTGTACCGCAAGGATCTGTTTTGGGGCCACTGCTGTTTGTCACTTTTATAAATGACCTGGATGAGGGTGTAGAAGGATGGGTTAGTAAATTTGCGGATGACACTAAAGTCGGTGGAGTTGTGGATAGTGCGGAAGGATGTTGCAGGTTAAAGAGGGACATAGATAAGCTGCAGAGCTGGGCTGAGAGGTGGCAAATGGAGTTTAATGCGGAAAAGTGTGAGGTGATTCACTTTGGAAGGAGTAACAGGAATGCAGAGTACTGGGCTAATGGTAAGATTCTTGGTAGTATGGATGAGCAGAGAGATCTCGGTGTCCACGTGCATAGATCCCTGAAAGTTGCCACCCAGGTTGATAGCGTTGTTAAGAAGGCGAACGGTGTGTTAGGTTTTATTGGTAGAGGGATTGAGTTTCGGAGCCATGAGGTCATGTTGCAGCTGTACAAAACTCTGGTGCAGCCGCACTTGCAGTATTGCGTACAGTTCTGGTCGCCGCATTATAGGAAGGATGTGGAAGCATTGGAAAGGATGCAGAGGAGATTTACCAGGATGTTGCCTGGTATGGAGGGAAGGTCTTATGAGGAAAGGCTGAGGGACTTGAGGCTGTTTTCGTTAGAGAGAAGAAGGTTAAGAGGTGACTTAATAGAGACATACAAGATGATCAGAGGATTAGATAGGGTGGACAGTGAGCACCTTTTTCCTCAGATGGTGATGGCTAGCACGAGGGGACATAGCTTTAAACTGAGGGGTGATAGATATAGGACAGATGTCAGAGGTAGGTTCTTTACTCAGAGAGTAGTAAGGGCGTGGAATGCCCTGCCTGCAACAGTGGTAGATTTGCCAACTTTAAGGGCATTTAAATGGTCATTGGATAAACATATGGATGATAATGGAATAGTGTAGGTTAGATGGGCTTCAGATTGGTTTCACAGGTCGGCGCAACATCGAGGGCCAAAGGGCCTGTACTGCGCTGTAATGTTCTATGTTCTAAGTTTCTGTCAGGTTGGGAATAAATTATTCGAAAACAACTTCTATTGTTGCATTTGTGGTCAAAGTCCGAATTTCCCATCAAGTATTTTTCCTTTTAACGCGTTTGACAGTACACTTATCCCACCCAGTTCAGTTGTAATGATATACAGCTTTCAGTGAAAGCTATCATATTAGCAAGTTACAGCCTTATTTAAAACATCAGATGATAACGTGAGAGATAGTAGGAACTGCAGATGCTGGAGAATCCGAGACAACAAGGTGCAAGGCTGGATGAACACAGCAGGCCAAGCAGCATCATAGGAGCAGAGAGGCTGACGTTTCGGGCCTAGACCCTTCATCAGAAAAGGGGGAGGGGAAGGGGGTTTTGAAATAAATAGGGAGAGAGTGGGAGGCGGATAGAAGAGGGATAGAGGAGAGGATAGGTGGAGAGGAAACAAACAGGTCGAAGAGGCGGGGATGGGGCCAGGAAAGGTGAGTGTAGGTAGGGAGTTAGGAAGGGGATAGGTCAGTCCAGGGAGGACGGACAGGTCAAGGGGGCGGGATGAGGTTGGTCGGTAGGAGATGGAGGTGCGGCTTGAGGTGGGAGGAGGGGATAGGTGGGAGGAAGAACAGGTTAGGGAGGCAGGGACGAGCTGGACTGGTTTTGGGATGCGGTGGGGGGAGAGGAGATTTTGAAACTTGTGAAATCCACATTGATACCATTGGGCTGCAGGGTTCCCAAGCGGAATATGAGTTGCTGTTCCTGCAACCTTCGGGTGGCATCGTTGTGGCACTGCAGGAGGCCCAGGATGGACATGTCGTCTGAGGAATGGGAGGGGGAGTTGAAATGGTTCGCGACTGGGAGGTGCAGTTGTTTGTTGCGAACCGAGCGTAGGTGTTCTGCAAAGCGGTCCCCGAGTCTCCGCTTGGTTTCCCCGATGTAGAGGAAGCCACACCGGGTACAGCGGATGCAGTATACCACATTGGCAGATGTGCAGGTGAACATCTGCTTGATGTGGAAAGTCTTCTTGGGGCCTGGGATGGGGGTGAGGGAGGAGATGATAACGTGAGCCTTTTGAGCTCAATTCAATTGTATATTTTACTAGTAGCAGCATTAATTATCGCAAGTTGAGCAGCAAAACGCTTTTCTTTTCAATACCGGGCTGAATTTGAAACTACCCGGTATTTGCATTTCACCTGTCAACTGAGTCTCGTTGACTTCGCCTGTTTCCATTGTCTTTACCTCCCAAAAAAAACACTGCGCGTATTAAAGATCATTGTTCTATTGTAAGACTACAAACAAAAGCAGGTTAGTTCCGTGTCTTTTTTTTTTAAAAAATAACTATTCTATTGTAAGTCTGCAAATGTAAGCAGCTCAGTGCATCAATCCTTCAACCCTAATTACACCCCAATGGGGAATGAACTGTTTTGTTCCCAACACGTTGGGCAGTTAGGCGCAGTTTCGGGAATGCCTGTCATGCTGCAGCGATCGCCAGGTTCCCAACCACACACGTTTATTTATATATAAAATAAATATTTGTATGTATGTTTGTGTGTGTGAATGTGTACAAATGCACATTACCGGTCTCGGTTAACAACAAAGCATCGCTATAGAAATGAATGAAACTCCCACCACCCACCCACTCGCTCCCTCGTTCGCTGTCTAACCTTGCAGCGATGGCCGCCGCCCTGGGCACAGGCTGCTCAGTGTCGTCCTGCTCAGCGTCACACATGGCCCCGGTCCAGTTGTCGTCTCGTTTTCGGTTCAAACGGGTCCCGCCGGTGCGCGGGCGGACAACGGCGGCGCTCAGCACGTGCCCGAGACCCCGACTGACACCTGCTCCTCTCACCCTCTCACTCACTCACTCACGCGACCGGCACGGATCCGGAGAACTCGCCTCTCTCGATCAACCTCTTACTTCGCCGTCAAGCAGTTTCTAGTCAGACTTTTCACTCATCAGGACCGTTCGCTCCTCGTAGGTGCCGTCCCCTGCCGACATGCGGTCTTTGTTTAATCACACGGCAGCTCGCTGCACACAAACACACGGGCAGAGAGGGGGAGAACAAATGGCGGCGTTTCCGTGGGAACCGACTCACGGCCCCCGACTGCGGCTGACGTCACACGGCGGTCGCAGTGCGATGACGCGCACCCGCTGGACGTCGCGGGTCCGATGACGAATGTTTAGGTTGTAGAGGGTACGATCATGGCGATGTTTCGGAGTTTGGTCTCCGGCAGTCAGGCGAAACATACGCCGGCAGCGCCGGGGGAAAACTTGGCAGATTCGTATAGCTGTCCTATCTGCCTGGAGGTCTACCACAAGCCGGTGTCCATAGCCAGCTGCGGACATGCGTGAGTTTGAAGCGAGAAGCCGGATTGATTGATGATTGAAAGATAACTGGAGCGGTTCTGGGTCTTGGGATCGGCGTCCCAGACAATGGCTGTGCATAGCTCAGGGCAAGTTTAGGGAACCTGCGCTTCGCAATGCCATTAGCACTGGGATAGCAAGGGAAAGATCGAGCCCCCGAACAGGAACTTGTGGTTTGTTTTTTAATGGTGGTTTATAGGGCGCTCGACAGAGGTTTGTTGTGAAGTTGTTCCAAAAGCTCCTTCGATGGCGTCACCGTCAGGGTGATGCCCAGTCCGGTACAATCAGAGTTTGAGCTGTGTCGCTGGGTCAACACAACTGTGTCACTCGGCACTTGCAGTTCGCACGAAAAATGTGGGGTTTCTTCTGTCTGGCTCATATGTCCGCCGCCACCTCCTCCAAAAAAAAATCTGCAATGGTAAATTTGACTGATCCCCTCAAAAAATGATGTGACCGAAGCCTTTCAAAGTATTGATAAGAAATACAGATGAATGTGTTTTAGTATCAAGCAATTACGTCGCCTGTTTCTTTCCTCTTCCAAATATATTTTCTGGATCGATGAACTTTGACATAATTACGTCCTCAAACGTAAACAATACCTCGTAATTATAGAGCTACAGTATATACTTGCTTTGTAGATAATAGAATGGCAATATAAATAGAATGCACAACGTTGATTTAAAGCTTACTGCAAAACCCGTACTTGATTAGGAAACAAATAACAGACAAAATCATATTTGTGGTCTCCGGAAACTAATGCAGTACGTTGTATCTTCTGGGCAATCTCATTTACTATTTTTCCGGATGCTGCAAGCTCAGCAGATTTTAAACATTAAAAATGTTTCTCGTTTCTACCAAACTTTATATGTTTCGGCTTTACACCGTCCTCACTCAGAAGGAACAACCTTGAGGTGTGTGTGTGTATATTCGTATCACGCTCCAGCTAACTTTCTTCGGTTTCCTCACCCATAGACAAACGTATACAGATTGAACTGGCAATGAACTACAGGAAACGGAGGATTAAGTTGGTAAAAGGATTACTTCCAATCCTTTCTTAATGTTGTAAAACAGTGAAATAAAGCAAAAATACAGCCAGAACTGTGGCATCTGGAAGCAGGGAGTGCAATCCAAAATGTTGTTGGTTATTCAAAAGAGGAAAAATGTTAAACCAGAACATAATCACAATTTTTGTTGAATCAAGTTTTGATAGCTTCCACACTGCATTGTCAGCTGGCTAGTTTATCATGCCAAGTGCTGTGTTGTTTTCTGTTTCATGTAAAAGCTGAGCTTGTATTACTTTGCTGAAGCCTTTTATCAAATCATTAATTTCTCCCTGTCTATTCTATCATTTGTGTAAACAAATTAAAGGAGTGAACTTTCATTTTTTATTTTGGTATATTGTACAGAATGGAAATGTTCATTGAACCCAAACCATAATCCTCAAGGCTGTTGTAAAGGTATCCCCATAGCTGAGGGCTTCAATATAAATATGATCTTAAAGTTGTTATTGTTTTTGCATGCTGGTGGTTAGCTGAATTCCCTAACCATTTGTGCGACCGTGTGTTCTTAAAATGTTTTTAATGCACATGGTAAGAAAAAGGCCAACTGTTGAGAAACAATTTCCAGGTGTTTTGATCATGAATATTGGTTCTGAAAATTCTGTGCATGTCTCTAGCCTCAAAGTATCTCATAACAGTCAGTATGTTGATATTACTAATTTACCAAAAAGTTTACCCACTGTATTTAGTATTCATAGTGAAGGTACTGCAGAGTTTACAGAAGTATACAATACATTTCTGCATGGCATTGTTCTGTGCAAAACAAGGATAACTACAAACTTATAAGTAAATGATGTATTCCCAGACCTTATTTACTATGGGTATAATAACTTTGGATGTTTCTGGTGAATGTTCAGATATGATGCATAAGTCTGCCTTTTCTTCTGTTTTTCCATTGAGCATTCTTAAGTTTTTTTTTTCCCTGTGATTTCTCATAGTTACCAAATAACTTGTACATCTCTAAATTTCCTCCAGCTTTAACTTAATATCCTTTGCTCAGTTCAAGAAAATAAGCATTAGAATACAGTGTAGGGAGAGGCATGGTCTTGACTTTTTTAATAAATCTGCGTATATGACAATTGGCAGTATCTCTAGAGTGGTAGGAACTTAACCTGGTAACGGGGAGCAAAGTGATTTGCGCAAGAGAAGATCACAGGGTAGATCAAAATGGGTTATTCTTGTATAACAATAGTAGCATTTTGAACATTGACTGAGGTAAGGAAAAATGTTGGCTACAAAATTGTCAGCAATACTTCGCTATTTTCTGATTTTTTAATAGAACTTGGAAATTCTACACGTTATGACATATTCTTAAATGAATTTTGTACCATTATTTCACATGCAAAGGTATAGCCAAAATCTTATAAAATTTACTTAGTCTAGGCAACATTTGGCTATTTTAATTTATAAGATGATGCAGAAATTAAACACATGAAACAGAATAGGAATTGTATGTATCTGCACGCATTGAATTAAAATGTAATAGCTTAGTCCTTGAGGGCCCTCTTGCAACCAGTGCTGGTGTCCCTATCCCTGCACTGGGAGAATCCGGTTCAAGTCTCTCCGGCTTCAGACTTGCACAGTCGTAATTCTGAACAGATTGATTAAAAATAGTTTTTTTTAGTTCATTCCCTGCAACTGCAACAAAGAAACTGAAAGCAGAGAGTACTGTGAATTGTATGGTATGTATTATTTTTTAAAATCACTTTTTCAAAGTTAGGAAATGTAAAAGCATAATTTATACAATTTTTATCACATAAATTATTTCTATCAATCTACATATATATTAAAGATGACCGTGGAGATTGTGGAGTAAAGTTTTTGTTTGAGAAAATAAAATAGATTTAACTTCAAACCCAATTAATGTGGCTTCTCCCTGTGGCTAAATGGCCTTCAGTTGCAGAACTAGATCAGTGTGCGAAGGTGTAATTGTGTACCTTTGCCCATCTGTAGGGAGAGCAACAATTTAAGAGTAAAAAAAAGTTCATTTAAATTAGTCGGCTGTAATTATACATTTATAGTTTCTTAAATATTTTATAGAAGTTTACCAGAAAAGTCTTGATTAATTGTTGCAGTCTTAACTGTGCTTTGCATTAAACTGAAACCCATCAAAGTGAATTTTTATGTCCAATAGAGGAACTCCAGCTGTTTGTAGTGTGTTATGTAGAAATATTCCACAATTATTGCTTCAGTGTGAATTGTGAAGCATTATTTAATACACTTGCAATCCAATTGACCAATAAATCAGAAAAATGATTGAAAAAAACTGTCAGAAATAGGCCTTCTTCCTTTATCTGCTTATTGGCTACAACTAACATACTGCCAACTTCTACCATGCAGAGAAACCAAGCATAACAAAAGATGGTGAAAATGGGAGCAGAAATATAATTAAAAATAGTTGCTTTTCTTATGTCCTAGCCAAAAATGGGTTGGATTTTATAGTTGTATTTTCGCAATATGTATGAATTTCTGGATGTGCAAGCGTTTTCTGGCGTTTTCTAAATTTATGGTCATGGACTCATGGAGATCTATGGAGCAGAAAAAAGGCCTTTGGGCCCATGAAGTCTGTGACAATCAAAAACAACCATATAACTATTCCAATCGCATTTTCCAGCACTTGTGTCATAGCCTTGTATGCCTTGGCATCACAAGTGCACATGTAAATATTTTTTAAATGTTAGGAGGGTTTCTGCCTCTACCATCCTTACAGCCAGTGAGTTCCAGATTCCCACCACCTTCAAGGGACAAAGTTTTTCCTCATTTCTCCTCTAAACTTTCTGCCACTTACCTTAAATCTGTGCCTTAAGTTATTGTCTTTTTTATTATGATAGCTTTGAATAGTGATTGCTTAGCATTAATTGGCATAGATTTGTAAGTTCTCAGATTCTACTGAGTTAGTTGATCTCGGTATGATTGAGAAAGGATATACTGCAGTTGGCATCAGTTATTGAGATTAGGTTAAAATCTAATTGTAATGGCCCATGTTGGAATTTGTTTATGTATATTATTGGAATTATGTACACATTAACATGAGGATTGTATCAAGCTGAATTTGTCAAGGCAGCATCCATGTTCAAACAATATGCCCCATTTCACTGCCTAATTTTTATTTTGCTTATTAGACCTCTATGAAGTGCTTTGGGCTGTTTGTTTATATTGATGGCAAAATATAAGTAGTAGTTGTCATTGTTGTAAGATGCTGTCTTTGTTTGCACATGGTTCTTTCAGACAGCTGTCTGCACTGGTAAAAGCATTGTATTACCACAGTGTTATCATTCTTTCATACATCAGATAACATAATTTACTAAATATATAAGCTACAATTTCTGTCTTCCTCCATGTTTTTGGTTTTCCAAACTGCTGGAATCTTTTCAGAATTTTTGGCATTTTTCAATATTATAACCAACAAGTCCAATGTTCCTGCAGCCTCTTCTTTTAAGACCCCAAGATGCAGGTTTTCAAGTCCAGAGAACTAGTCACGATTTAAGATCCATTAGTTTTCTCATTACTTTTGTTTTCATGTTTGTTTTCAGTTCATCACTGCCTTTTGAATGCTTAAATTTGTATAGTCATGAGTCATGTGGGTTCTTTTGTATAAATCATCCATAACAAGCTATCAGATGGCAGGTAAACTAGTTGAGTAAAATAGTAAGTATTTTGAAGAAAATGCTGCAACTGGCTTACTGAATATTTCATTAAAGGGGAATATTACTGAGAAATGAAGGTAGAATGTTATTATCATTTTTCTGTATCTGTAATCCTTTTTTTATTCTCTCACAATCACAGTTCTGATTTTGATAGATTCTGTGTATGACCTTAAATGTCAGGTTGTTGTTGTCAACATGCTGCATTAGTAGTACTTACTGAGGATAATATTATCACTGAATTTCTGTTTATACTTAAGCTATCATTCCTAAAATATCATT